TTGATCATCTTAGTTGCTCTTCTCTGCACTTTTTCCAAAGTCTCAACATCCTTTTTTGTAGGATGGTGACCAAAAATGGATTCGGTATTCCAAGTGTGGCCTTACTAGGGTTTATAAACCCTAGTTTATAAAGCGGCACTAATACTTCATCGGATCTTGATTCAATGACTCTGTTTATACAACCCAGGGTTGTATTAGCTTTTCTGGCTGCTGGCTCATGTCTAAGTGATCGTCCACTAGGACTCCAAGGTCCCTCTCACAGTCCCTGTTTTTGAGCCAGGTCTCGCCTTATCTGTACTTGCAGCTTTGATTTTTCCTGCCTAATTTTGCAATGATCTTATCTTTTTGACTAGCCGAAAGGCCCTTTTTCTTTTATGAAAAAGGGAAGCTAAACTCCTATCCTTCTCCCTAGTCAAGGTTTGGCTCCAATTCACTGAGGGGAAATATTATGTCAGATCCCTAAAAGTGAACTGCCATTCAATTGGGAGGAGGGGAGCCTCGGAGTTAAATCATTAGCTACATCTGTAACAACTGAGTTTTACAACTTCACAACTGATTTCCTGTCACCAGGAGACTGAAAGTCCCAACATCTCTGGAGGGATGTTTATGATAGCCATGTGGGATATATTACTTTGACGTCTAACTAGAGATAGCCATGGGAACGTGTGTTTTAAGAGTCTTTACTTTCTCAAGTTAGGAGAGGAGTCATTACATATTATTTCTCACCAGTTTCTCTTCTTCCACACCTCTAATTTAGTTCCTGAAATCTACACAAATATGTCACATCTTCCTGCAAATTTCTTTACACTAGATCCCAAACAAGAGTTATGAACATTTTAAGACACTAAAATTGGAAATAAAAAAGCATACGGCAGTTTGAAAACCTCTGCATTGATTTTTACACCGTATCGCACATTTCATCCACTAACATCAATCCAGCTTTCCTGGAAATGTCATCATATTCTGAAGAAAATGCAAAAGAAAAAGAAAAAAAAGCAGTGGCCACATTTAAAAGGGCAAAGTTTTAAAGGCATGTTGCTCAGCAGCTTCCGTGTCCATTTCTAATTTTGCATCACTTACAACTCTCTAAAGTTAGAGTAGATTTCGTCTTGATAACATTAAAAAGAAAAAAAAATCTGGAGTTTGTTCCTAGTTTTCCACTTCAATGAAATGGGGTAGGGAACTTCTGATCCAGAGATGGATTTGGCCTAGACCCCCTTCCATCCTCCCAAGAACAATCACAAGCAGATAGGGCCACTTGCTAGATCTTGCTCTCAAAGCAGATTGGGTGGGGAAACCCCAGGAGGCTCAGATTTGGGTTCCCACAGATGTGCTAACATGACTCCCTTCATAAATTGGAACTTAGAGCAATACTTCGCTTTGGACTCTGATTTAATTTGGGGTGTTATTTGGAACCCAGAGACCTTGCTCTCTTCTTCCCCTTTCCTGTCCCTTCTTGCATGCTCAAATGCAAAAGGGGAAACATTTCTCCTCTTGTTTCATTTTGCTTTTAGTTTGTTTTGCTAGTCCTCTGCCAGCGAAAATGGAGCTTTGGCAACTGCATTCGCCCCCCTCCCCGAACCCTGTTTTTGGCCGTAATGGCCTCTTGCAGCCCTCTGTCAGAGAAAAATGGAGCTTGGGGGGCCGCACGTGCCAGAGAGCTGAAAGAGGCTGTCACGGCCAAAAATGGGGCGGGGGGGGGGCATGCAGGGCCCTCTTGGGCTCTGTTTTCACTGGCAGAGGCATTGTGGGCCAGTCCTTCCCTGTTTCCAGGGCGGCCCCATGGGGCAGATCTAAGCACCCCATGGGCCAACCTTGAGTTTGACACCCCTGGTAGAGAGGAAATGATACGATATATTTGCATGGACGAATCTGCAGAAATTGACACATTTCAGCTTCTTTGGCAGCTTGTTAGCAATGCAAATGGTTGTCAGACGTCTATCAATAAATGAGAAACAGAAGCTCAAAGGACAAAACGCAGCAGCTGAATGATGTCCAGACGTGTGTGGAGCAAGGAAGGAAAGGGATGGAGAAGGAACAGGGTTGCAACTGAAGTAAAGTAATTTGTTTAATTTTATTTTCTTTGTTCTTTTTTCCCTGCCTCTAATTCATAGAATCATAAAATCATTAAGGACAATGTTGTGGCCTGTCAGCTTCCAGCGCCTCCAGCAGCCAAATCAGGTGAGGAGGAGGAGGCCAGCATCAAGGCAACCTGAGAACTCTGAGGGGGGAAAGGAAATGGGGCTGTCAGAGATAAGAGACAGAGGGAAGCCTGGGACGTCCATCAGCCCTCAGATGGAGAGTCAACAGTTCTCAAGTCTGGAGGTGGCTGATGAAGAAGAGGAGGAACAGCTGGGCCCAGCCGGATGCTCAGAAGGCAGAGGAGGGGAGAGCAGTGGAAATCTATGGGCCGGTCCTTGGGACGGAAGAGCCACTATTGCTAGTGAAGCCGCACCCTAACACTGGGGATAAAAGGCAGGGGGCGGAGATGAACAGGTGTGGCAGACAACTATTCATCTTCCTGCCAGACGAACTTATTAATCTGCTGAGAGAGAGAGAGAGAGGGGGGGGGAGGGAGGGAGGGAGGGAGGGAGGGAGGGACAGAGGAGGATCCTGGGCTGTCTGTCAGTCCTCAGATGGAGAGTCAACAGCCCCCAGGTCTGGAGGTGGCTGATGAAGAAGAGGAGGAACAGCTGGGCCCAGTGCCAGATGCTCAGAAGCCAGAGGAGAGGAGAGCAGTGGAAATCTATGGGCTGGTCCTTGGGACGGAAGAGCCACCTCTGCTAGCGAAGCCCCACCCCAGCTCTGGGGATAAAAGGCAGGGGGCGGAGATGAATAGGTGTGGCAGACAACTATTCATCTTCCAGACGCCAGACTTGTTCGCCTGTGGTGAGAGGGAGACTTTTGCCGGGGCTGCTGGCGCTCCTAATAAAGGTATCATTGATTTAACTGCAGAGGGCTTGTTGTGTTTGGGAGCCAGATCAGAACAGATGGAAGGGACCTTGGAGATCTTCTAGTCCAACCCCCTGCCCAAGGCCTGAGTTCTGATCCCATCCTAGACAAGTGGATGTCCAATCTCTTCTTTAAACACTACAGGGATGGAGCACCCACAACTTCTGGAGGGAAGCATTCCGCTGATTGACAGTTTCACTGTCAGGAATTTCTTCCCTAGTTCTAGATTGAATCTTTCCTTGATAAGCTTCCACCCATTGCTTCTTCTCTTGCCCTCAGGGGCTTCCTTGGGAGAATAGTCTGAGCCTCTGAGCCTTTTGCTCGCTTCTGTTCAGTCTTTTCCTGATGGGAACTATGTCGTTGAAGGCAAAATAAAAGCAATGTGGAGACAGTGAAACTTTGGCAAAGTATCTTCCAAAGGGACTGCAAAAAAGGAGCTACTTACCCCCTCAGATTTCTTATCTGGGAAGATGCAAGTTTCCCCACCAGCAGTAAAATTACAGTAAACTTTGAAGGAATCCCGGGAGCAGCCTTGATTCGGGTCCACCCAATATTCTCCTAGAGTTGGGAGAAAAGCAACGGCTAGAAATGATAAAGCCCAAACACGAACTTTGGCATTGGCTTCAAAAGCCCTTCAGAAAAACTCCAGCTTTTTCCAGAGACACCGAGAGATCGTTCCAGAGAGCCGGTCCCATCACTGAAAAACAGTGTTTATTTCTCAATCTACCTTTGTTCTTTTTTTAAAAAAAAAACAGGATTTCCAATTTAAAATACAAATATGAAGAATAGCTTCCAATAGAACAGGGGTGTCCAAACTTGGGAACTTTAAGACTTGTGGACTTCAACCAGCCAGCTGGGGAATTCTGGGAGTTGAAGTCCACAAGTCTTAAAGTTCCTAAGTTTGGACACTCCTGGAATAGAAGCTCCTTGGGGCTCACGGAGCGGGGCTGTTTGCAGACATTTCGTTACCTGACCAAGCTATGTCATCAGTGCTGGTGAGTGTGGAGTTTGCTCCTTGTTCATACGACAGTTGCTTCCCTTGCCAGTATTGATGAAGGTGTGATTTTCTCTTTCTGGTAGTTTCTGGATTAGGGCCTTGTTTTCTGTCTTGTTTGGCCACTTTGTTGTTGAGCTGCTTCCCATCCAGCCATCCCGTGTCTGACCTTGCTGGGCAGTGCGTCTTGTTGTAGGCATTCACACAGAAAGAATAAGTGGAGGATTGCCTCCATGTAACCTTATCCCATTTGTGTGCTTCCTGAAGTGTTTGACACTCATATGGGCTTCCAAAACTCAGGTTGAACCGTGTATAATGGAATCATTGTCTTTTAACGTCCCCATTAATCCCTTGCAGGGTGGAGTTTGAATGGAGCTGGGTGTTTATTGGCTGGATGCCCTTCCTGTCGCAGAGTTTTATTCAGCAGATATATTCTCATTGTGCCCAGAGAGAGAAATATCTGCCTCTACCTAGGATTGAACTCACAGCCTCCTGATTGTGAGGAGAACCAGGTTACTTAGACTACAAATTGTTCTGTGTTTGGAGGGCAGGAGCTGAAGATCCTCACTCTAGGAGAATATTGGGTGGACCCGA